GCCCGCCACCTCGCCCGGCTATTTTTTTGTATTTTTTAGTAGAGACGGGGTTTCACCATTCGATCTCCTGACCTCGTGATCCGCCCGTCTCGGCCTCCCAAAGTGCTGGGACTACAGGCTTGAGCCACCGCGCCCGGCCTTATTTTGTGAGCCACCTACTAAAATAACTCTTGCAATGTCAGGTATACATTACGGACTGGTCATGAAAAGGTACTGAAGACATGACCTTTGTTTTCTTGGCCCATGGTCTTCAAAATTTTTGCCCATGAACTCTCCAAAGGAGTTTTTGAAAAATTTCACAGTCCCTTTAATTTTAAGTCAAAATTAATGTTTTTCAGGTTAATATTAATAAATTACAAAAGATATAATTTCCAGATTACTGTAAATGAAACTGACATCACTCTCTTAAATGTAGACGTCGAAAATGTAATTACAATGGTGATTGAATATGCGTCATCTTTCAATACAAAATACCTAAAAGTTTTTAATAGTTAGACATTTTAATTGGGAGCTAAACATCAAATATACATGAACACAAAGAAGGGAATAACAGACACCGGGGCCTGCTTGAGAGTGGAGGGTGGGAGGAGGGTGAGGATAGAACTACTACCTATTGGGTACTATGCTTATTACCTGGGTGATGAAATAATCTGTACACCAAACCTCTGAGACATATAATTTGTTTATATAACAAACCTACACATGTACCCGTGACCCTACAATAAAAGTTAGTAAATAAGTTAAAAAAAAAAAATTTAAATGTACCTTTCTTCCTTAAACTAACCTTTTGATTTCTCTTCTCGACATATTTTTATCCTAATCTATTTTATACTTTAAGGTCTTTGATTATATTATTAATTTTTTTCTGTCACAAAATATGAACAATAATTTACTATTATTATTATTATTATTGAGACAGGAACCCACTCTGTCACTCAGGCTGGCACGATCACAACTCATTGCAGCCTCTACCTCCCAGGCTCAAGCAATACTCCTGCCTCAGTCTCCCAAAGTACTGAGACCATGAGGGTGAGCCACTGAGCCTGGCCTTTATTTGGATGAAATGCTTTTTATTAACCATGATGTTTTCACGTCGTCACATTTGTCAGATAGTAATTTAGTTTTGATATTTTGAACAAATTATCAGGTCAGAAATACAAATTCTTGCAAAAGATAAATAAGAATTAATAGCTAGAAAAACTTTCAACGCAATGATGTCAATATATAATGTTACACTTTACAATGTTTCTTTCAGAAAAGCAACTGATCTGTTGTGCTATTGTTATTTATTCCTTTCGTTCCTTTTTTGTGTTAGATTTAAACATTTTTCACTCCCTTTTCATTAATTTATATAATGTGTACTTTGTAAGAAGTCAGCATATTTAACAATTTTTTGATGACCATACTTGTTGGAGGTATCCTTAAAAATGAAAACTAGCAAAAATTTGGGCAAAACAAATTCTGATCATCATAAAGAACAGAATTTTACTGGAAATGCATTTTTTAGATAGATGGGGCTGATTTTCAACAGGTAGTTTTGTAAAACTAATACTCGTAAAATATTGTGGAAAGGGAAGCAAGAGAGGAGAGGAGCCAGAAGGAGGAAAAAGCGACCGTCCCTGGTTGGGGTGGAATCGGCTTCCCAGAAAAAACGTCACCTATGTTGGATCTAAAGGATGAAAAGGCATCCTCTGGGCAAATAGGTTAAAAAAGAGAAAGTTCTAGACAGAAGGATCAGTTTATCCAAAGCTTAGAGAAATAGAAGAACATGGCCTGTCCAGAAAACTGGTCTTTTAGAACACATGACATTTGCGATGCCTAGGAGATATCCAAATAAAATCTGAATGAGATCTGGCATCACGTTGCTGGTTAAATGTGGAGTCTGGTCTGCTGGTAAGCTGTATTCAAAGTCTACAAATTTTATTCCCAGGTCCAAGGCTAGACAAGATTAGATAGTGAGCAAGTGTAGACAGACAGGACAGAAACTGCAAGCATCGTCTAACATCCCAATATTTAGACAACAGGAAAGAAAAGAAATGGGTGAAGGAGAGTGACAGGCATGATCAGTGATATCCCAGAAACCAGGTAATGAGAAAGAGCAATCCACGCTAAACACTGCAATCCACGCTAAACACTGCCAAGATGAAAAGGTGAAAAGTAAAGATTATCACTTTATTATAAATTCCAGGTTAAAGTGCCTTTTTAACATGAGGGGTTTCAAATTTACAAGAAGAAAGCAAACAACCCCATTAAATAGTGAGTAAAGGACATGAACAGACACTTTTTGAAAGAAGACACACACACAGCCAATAAGCATATGAAAAAAGCCCAACATTACTGATCATTACAAGAATAGAAGTCAAAACCATAGTGACATATCATCTCACACCAGTCAGAATGGCTATTATTAAAAAGTCAAAAAATATCAGATGCTAGCAAGGTTGTGGGGAAAAAGGAACACTTATATACTGCTGGTGAAAGTGTAAATTAGTTCAACCATTGTCAAAGCGGTGTGGTGATTCCTCAAAGAGCTAAAAACAGAACTACCACTGGTAGTTGGCAATCCCATTACTGGGCATATACCCAAAGGAATATAAGTTTTTCTATCATAAAGGCACCTCCACACATATGTTCATTGTAGCACTATTCACAATAGCAACAATGAAGAATCAATCTAACTGCCCATCGATGGTAGACTGGATAAAAGAAATGTGGTACGTATACACCATGGAATACTATGCAGCCTTAAAAAAAGAATTAGATCATGTCCTTTGCAGGAACATGGACGGAGCCAGAGGCCATTATCTTTAGCAAACTAACGCAGGAACAGAAAACCAAATACCACATGTTCTTACTTGTAAGTGTGAGCTAAATGATGAGAACATATGGATGCACAAAGGGGAACAACAGATACTGGGGCCTACTGAAGCATGGAGGGTGGGAGGAAAGAGAGGATCAGGCAAAATAAAAAATGAGTACTAGGCTTAGTACCTGGGTGATGGAATAATCTGTACAAAATCCCCCATGACAAGTTTAGTTAATAAATATTTGACTCAATAAATTTTTAATAAATAAAACTACACACGTAGGTTTGTTACATAAGTAAACTCGTCATGGAAGATTTTGAACCTAAAATAAACCCTGAACCTAAAATAAAGATTAAAATAATATACAAGGGATCTAAGAATTTAAAATTTTGTGTGTGTATGTGTGTTTGTGTAAAGAAAAACAAATCTAAATGGATACAAACCTTACTACTACAGACTAGGATTTGACTGTCAGGAGTTCTACTTTTTGCCTGATACACTACTGCATGTTTTAAAAAGACTTATGACAATCCACATATATTACTTTTTTAGTTCATAATTTTAAAGAAAGAAAACTTTGGATGAAATGGCTAAGCTATTACAATACGGAAAAAGTTTCAAAAGTCATTTTTTCATACCTACATTCTAGACAGCACTAATTCCAACATTTGTTTGCACTGATGTTCATTATAGTTATTTCACTATTTGTAAAGTATGATTTGCTATCAAAAATAATACTTTAGGACATTTGATTGACTTTCTTAGCAGTAAATTCCTTTCTACATTTTTCTCCATTGACTTCCTTTCTTCTCTCGATTCTCTGTCTCATTTCCCTCACCTATGAGTTCTCCCATTTGAGAGAAGTTTAGGACTTCACCATCTGGATTTTAATTTTTAAAGTTTATTTAAGACCACCACAAGAATGTAAAGCTCTTTTCTTGCTCTTTCTGGGAGTCTTCTGGCCTAACTGTCAGGATTAAAGAGGACAAAAATCAAACCTCTTTACTGTAAGCAATTGACATTAATTAATATTATTTACTCAGTTGATATTTAGTAAACATTATTTATAGTATAATTCACACTTCTTTCAGAAGATTTTAGAAATTAATATTATGCATCCTGTTTTCCATCAAGTAATAGTTTCTGATAAATTAATTTCCATAGAAACTGACATGGGGAAAAGTATAATTCTGTTGACATGCTGAGAAATAAATTATGTAAAACATTGAAAGAGAAAACAGTTCCAAGAAACTCATTAGTAGTTACATTTCAACAATGTTAAACTAAAGCAGTGTCTAAATATAGTCCATCATAAAATTTTTGCTATTGTTTTAATTGGTAGATTTTTTTATTTTTTTAGGAATAAACTACTTTTTCTAAATTATGTGTGTTGATTCAGAAAGAAATAAGGACTCAAACAACTATTAATCATTGTTTTTCAGATACCTTTGTGTGTTTTGTAATGATTTGAGTAGCAACCTTCAATGAGTTTTCTAATAAGGAAAGTGATATATCCACTGGTCTGCTAGCTTATACAGGCATAAACACAAATATAATGAAATATGCGTCATTTCCTTTGGAGTTCATGAAACTGTTTTGCACAGTTCCCCAAAGGGTGAGAGAAGAAATCAAGCCATCTTTGATATGCAATATAAATATCTCCCCAAAGAAATCACAAGGCCTATATTTGTTTACTCTTGCTTTGAGTCTGCAAATGTATTTCTTATCTATACCTTAACTTTACTTTAAATACCCACTGCATACACAAGCAAATGATTTTATTTATAAATTAATTTCATCCTTTGTTGTTAAAGAGAAATATGAACTTTGAAATGAAGACAGAAAATATAGACACAAAGTTCACCTGAAATAGAAAGATATTCATATCAGAAAAAAATCTTTTAAAAACCTGATAGAAATATTAATGTAAGGAATAGTATTATTAAAATTATATATTCCACATATAAAATGATGAAAAACATACACAATCATAATAAATAACACATATTTCTCTGAAATGTACTCAGATATTCCTTTACCTTATTCAGACAGATAAATGTAAATAGTGCCATTATCCACTGTTTTTACCTTACTACCCACATACTGATTGATGCTCTATTGTATCAGCCTATAGAAAAATAAGTAAGCCAACTTCAAAAAATCGTAAAAAAAAAATTAAACAATGCTTCTTACCGACACATAGGACCATTTTTCTCCACTACACAAGTCCCACCATTTCTGCAGTAATTTAATGGACATTCTAAAAAGAAGCATCACAAAGATGCCAGTTAATTATAAATAGTATTAGGAGAGAGGAGAAGATATCACCATTTGTCATGACATTAAATCTAATAATCTCTGAGAGTAAATTCCTTTCCAGTTGCAAAAAGCAAAAGAATTTCCATAGGTTACTTTCCTGTACTCCCTTCAAATTTGTCCAGTAGCCCCTGCTGCGCTGAATGTGTTCATGCCCTTCACATGCCTGAATGATCCACAAAAAGAGAAGACTTTAAAAAATTATTTACTTGTTTAATTTTTTAAATATTTTTAAGCAAAAAATCTGGTCACTATACACTATATATATACACATACATACATATGTGTATATATATACATACATATGTGTATATATATAGTGTATAGTGACCAGATTTCTTTGTGTTGAGAACATTCAGTATCCTCCTTGGAACTATTTGAAACTGTATGATATATTATCATTAACTATAGTCATCTCACAGTGCTTTAGAACACTAGAACTTCTCCCCTGGATTGGGTATCATCCACTTAATTAGAATGTGTCTGCATGACATATTTGTGATGACAATAAAGTGTTTTGTTTACTGAAACATTTCTCTAGTTCTACACAACAGTCCTCATGTCACGGCAGGCAAAAGCCTTTTTTGATACGTCACTCACTTATGAGCATGCAGATGTCCTACCTCTGCATCCGTGATCGATGTCAGTATAACTCAGGTTTGTCCCTGGGCTTCTTATTTCACTGCTTGTGTCACTCCCTAGTTATAGTTTAACAGGAACATTTATTTTCAAAGGTAGTTTACTTAATAGGTTAAAAAGAAGCTAAATATCTTCATAGAGTAACTACTGGGAGAGTGGTTAGCACATTTAGCTTCTGATGCTGTGTTCATATGAACTGCCTCTGTGTACTCTCACGAGACATCTAGACCCACCGGCCTGTCAATTCCCCTATTCAGTTAAGACCCAAGTTGTTCCTAGGCTTTTTGTTTTTACTTGACACATTGCAATTGTACATATTTATGGGGTATAATTCAACACCTCTCTTGCAGGATACCAGTCCTCCCTCGGTGGGTTACTTTAACTCCAACACTTGATTAAAATTTCCTGTCTTTAATTTTAATCGAATAAATATATTCTGAGCACCTATAAAATGTCTGGCACTGGGCTGGGCACTGGAAATATACTAATAAATAATATAGACATCTTAGTATAGTTGTTAAGACTGAGGGCACAGGAGCCCAGTTGCTCATCTCAGCTCAATTTATTAGCTGAGTAGTATGGGGTAAGGTAGTTAACATCTCTGTGCCTCTATTTGCTTTCTGTAAACAAGGTTAACAAATAATAATTATCTCATAGGTTTGTGAGACTGTTAGAAGAACAACCAGTTCATAGTATGAGTTTAATAAATGTTGAGTTTAAAAAGATATACAACCATGGTCCCTGCTCCTACTGTCCTTCCAGATGCAAAATAAAATAAAATAAAATAAAATAAATTTTTAAAAAGTGAGTGTGGCATTAAAATGCAGAATGAAATTATTCTATTGGGATGGATGTTCTAAGGGTGATGGGAACACCAAGAAGAAGAAGAGCACATTTGGGGAGTAAGAAAAAGCTTTCGAGAGAGAATCAGTAGCCATTTATTTGGGCAGTAGAGGTAGTGTGTGCGTGTCAAGGTGAGCATAAAGACCCAGAGGCCACAGAAGAGGGTGTAGCATGATTGAGGAACTGAAGACAGCCCAGTCTAGTTGAACTGCTCATAATACAAAGATAGTGTAAAAAAAAGTCAGAGACACACAGTTTTTGGGTCACATCAGCCCAGCCAAGATTTTAAGAAGGGAAGTGCCATGTTTCATGTGTTAGAATTCTGGCTGCAGTGCGTCAAGTCAAGAGAAAGACCAAGCCTAAAATTTGAGAGCCCCATTAAGAGTCTTTTTTGTAATAAACTAGCAAAAATATAATGGTTGCCTGAATTAAAGGATTAGGATGGGTTTGGGGGTAGAAAGTTGTTGACCTTTTAAGAGATATTTATATTAGGATTGAAACATCTTGGTGACTATTTGGAAGAGTCAAGGATAATGTCCACCTTTCTGGCTGGGTCACTGGCTAGTTGGTGGTTTCATTCACTGAAGGGGATTTATGGGGAATTAAGATTTTTAAAGGAAAAGATAATGTTATGTTTTAAGTGCATTAGGCGCATCCAAGTGGAAGCGACCTGACCTGTGGGCATTGGAATTTGCAGGTCTCAACCTCAGATGAAATATTTTACGAAGTAGAGATACAGATTTGAGGCTTTTCTTCAGATATTTTTCTCTGTCTTTTAGATGGCATCACTGTTCGGAGTTTTTCCTCAAGTCATTTTGAAATCATTGTTTCTGGTACTATAGGGTCACATAGATAATGTTCCTTGTCTTTGATAAGCCCAATCTTAGCAGAGACAGAGAAAACACTTACTAGAACAGAGAAATGATGATAATCATGAAGGATAGTGAGAAAATAGAGAACTAGAAATTTTATGTAAGCAATACATATTGAAGTAAAACAAGGAAAGGGTGGCATGAAAGAGCAGACTGTTAAGCAGTGATAAGGTTTGGTTTTGTGTCCCCATCCAAATCTTATGCCAAACTGTGATCCCCAGTGTTGGATGTGGGGCCTAGTGGGAGGTGACTGGATCATGGGAGTGGTTTCTAATAGTTTAGCACCATCCCCCTAGTGCTGTCTCATGGTGGAGTTCTCATGAGATCTGGTTGTTTGAAAGTATTTAGCACTTCCCCCTTCTCTCCCCCTCTCCTGCCAGTCATGTGTATGTGCTTGCTTTGCCTTTGCCTTCCATCATGATTGTAAGTTTCCTGAAGCCAGCTTAGAAGCAGAATCCTGTCTAACCTGCAGAACCATAAGTCAATTAAACCTCTTCTTTTTTTCTCTTTTTTTCAAATAAACTACCCATTCTCAGGTATGCCTTTATAGCAGTGTGAGAATGGGCTAATAAAGGCAGTCATTGCACACTAGAGAAGGAATAGCAGGCATTAAGAAAGAGGAAAGCAAGGAAGGAGGGAAGTTGCAGTTTAGGACCAAAACTGAAATATATCTTGAGTCTGGCATCATTTTTGGTTTCAAAAAAAATCAGCAGTTTGTTTTCCCAGGAATGTATTTCCCATCTTGCCCTCCCTTAGTCCTCCTTATTTAACTAATTACATAAAACAGGGGAGTAACGTGCCGAAGATGAGAGTAAGGAGCTCCGTCCCTCAGGACTGGGTAGCATGCTCCACTGAACAGAACAGACATGAGATAAGCAATTTGCTGATTTGACTGAACAATAACCACCAATATGACAAAGCATAAATTGGTATAAACCTTGTTAGATAAGCTGTTTTATGGTGATTTTTGATCTTAGGTATAATTTCAGTCTTCCTCAAATATGGATTTTGTTTTATTGAAAAATGAGAACAGTGTTGGAGACTGCAGAGTATCAGAAAACAAACAGCACAGCAGAGCTGCTCATTTTGGGGTGGGTCATTCATATTCAAATTGATTGCAGAAAATGAAACATAAGCTTGCTTTACATCAGAATAATTCTGTGTGAATCTAAACATGCATTTTTGTGCTGTATAGTGGAGCATGGTCCAAAGAACACAGATGTCCACTGGAAACAGAGGTGAGTCCTGTTGTTTTGCAGGGCAGAAAACTCACAGGTTGTCTCTGTGATAAGATTTTATAACTTTCTGCTTTAGACCCAGGTTCTTTAGCCATAATACAGAAAGACACAGCACCAAGTATTTTCAGCTTTGATTTACTCAAAACAATTTTAAGCAGAGAGCAAATGAAATGGGGAAGGAGATGGATATGGCTAATTAGCCATGAAGAGGCTGAGTATTTCCAGGAGATAAGTAGATATAATTCCCAATATGGGAACTGGGAATCTATGGGGCAATATTACCATTAGCAGAGGTTTCCAATCTTTAGCCACAGCACTGTCTCTCTGGCTTGTAGCCCTTTGTGTTGGTTATTATGAATATGTGTCTGGAGGCCAATACAACTGACAACTGGTTACACAGAAATATCATTCTGGGTATTTCACATTGAATCCCAAAGAGGAACACACATATAAAAACAATAGTAACTTTTAAGCTTAAATAGAAATAATTTGCAAGTAAGCCTCCATTTTTCCCCCTTAATGTACATAGAGACTAGGGAAGTGACAGGTGGTATATACTAGTTTTCTGGGAAGATTGATACCACGTGAATCCTGGTGCTCCCTGATGATACCTGGCTCAGTCATGTAAGAGTTATGCGACTTTGAGCTAGGTACTCTAAGTATACGATTCTTCATGTAGAGGCCAGGCGCGGTGGCTCACGCCTGTAATCCCAGCACTTTGGGAGGCCGAGGTGGGCAGATCACGAGGTCAGGAGATCGAGACCATCCTGACTAACATGGTGAAACCCCGTCTCTACTAAAAATACAAAACATTAGCCGGGTGTGGTGGTGGGCGCCTGGTGTAGTCCCAGCTACTCGGGAGGCTGAGGCAGGAGAATGGCGTGAACCCAGGAGGCAGAGCTTGCAGTGAGCCGAGATCGCGCCGCTGCACTCCAGCCTGGGTGACAGAGTGAGACTCCGTCTCAAAAAAAAAAAAAAAAAAAAAAAAAAGATTCTTCATGTAGAAATATGTATGATAGCACTTCCTTATAGGACTGCTAGGAAGGTTAAATTAAATTTGTTAGCATTTTTATACTAGTGAATGGTGTGTATAAGGTATTAAATAATTGTTCTCAATCATCTTTCCATATTGGGGGAGTATTTGCATTGCCTATGAAACCTAGTTTCCTTGACACTGCTCTCTCCATCTTCTTCTTCTTCTTCTCTTCCTTTTCTTCCTTTGTGGTTATAATCACCATCACCACTACCATTTATATAAGGCCTACTATGTGTCAGGGACTGGTCTAAGAGTTTTACATGTGTTATCTCACTTAGTCCTCATAACATTGTGTCTTATATACCATAATTATCCTCATTTTGCAGAGGAAAGTGAGGCCTCAAGTGGTTCATATAACTTACTTGAGTTAATAGCAAAGAAGCATCTGAACTAGAACTAAACCCTGTCTTCTGACTCCAAAGCCTGTTAGAGCAAAAATGTCAAATGACTAGCTATTTAGCTCAGAATTTCTACAATTGCTTGCAGTTTTTGATGCTGTGGGCATACGAACCCCTTTGAATCACGTGGCATTTATGTACTGTCCCAGATAAGTATGCATATACACAATTATTTGCACATAGTTTGAAGAGATATATACACCTTAGGAGTCCACCTGAAGATTTTGTGCAACAAACCAAGTCCCAGAGGGAAGAGATTATTCTCTTTATCTTGAAATCCTGGCACAGGAACTACAGGAAAATCTATCAAGCCTCAAAAGTTGATATCATAGAAGCAGAGAATAGAATAGTGCTTACCAGTGACTGGAGAGGGGAGGAAAAGGACAGGCAGAGGTTAGCCAATGGGTACAAAGTTACTATTAGATAGAAGGAACAAGTTTTGGTGTTCTTTTGCACAGTAGGGTAATGGTGAATATTAAGATATTGTATATTACACAATGGCTAGGAGAGAGGCTCTTCAACGTTCTTACCACAAAGAAATAATTAATGCATGAGGTGATGGATAAGCTAACTACCCTGATTTGACCATTATACAAAACATATGCACTGAAACGTCAAATTGTACCCCATAAATATGTACCATTATGATGTGTCAATTAAAAAATAAAAACAATAATAACAAACAAACTTGAAGTAGCTCCACAGTACTTGCCTGAGAAGTGTTTGCATTTGTTTGGTTTTTAAATACTTCTGAAACTTTATTAAGCTGTATCATCATCATCGTCATCATCATCATCATCATCACCACCACTATTGTCAGTGTTTTTATGTATAGTATCATATTTATAATGTCCCATCCTACAATTTTACATTTTTAGTGTCCTTTCCTAATTCTCCTTCAAATGAATGAATATCATAATTATAGTTTCTCCTTAGCATAAGCTTTATTAACCTCTACTACCACAAATGACTAGAAAAACACTTTCAGTTTATATTGAGCCAGACAAATTCTGGCCAATAATTTCTGGTTGCAAAGCAACCAAAACTGGAAAATAATATACTTTCATAATGTAAGTTAGGCATGAACAGGATTCATTGAAATATGTGTAGCCTGCAACATTTATACAGTGCCCGACCTTAATATTCTTGTTTATGACTTAAACCTCAAGGTGGGTGAGGCCAGATTCTGATCATGGTGAGACCACTATGGGAATTATTGGATACTGTAAAGATTGAGTTCACAAAAGCCTATTAAATGCTGACCTTAAAAGAATATAATGTTGGAAAGAAAGAGTAATGTGTAATGTACATTGACAAATCTTTAGTGTGGATCAGGCTTAAAGATATCTTTAAAACAGAAGCTTGGCTTTATTATACTTGATTGACAGGCCAAAAAGCATACAACATGTAAATAGATAAAACATAATATAATAGGGATTTTATTTCTGAAAACTGTATTTCACTAGTTCTTTATTTTACTCTAACCCAATAGCTGTGTCAACATGACCTACACTTTGGAAGTGAACTGTAAACATGACTGGTGACTGATGAAGAGACGGACAACAAAAATGTGTTCTATAGTACTACCTGCAGAGTGTCTGTTGCTGGGTATGAATGACAAGTATTCTGTTTTTCTGATCCCACTTTTAAAAGTAGACTATATCAAAGAAGCTAACAAATTATAACATATTATATTTGTGCTCATATAGGACCATGCTGAAGATAATCTCATCTTTATGTAAATAAGTTTGGGTCTGGCATAAATACTGTCTCTTACTAGTGTCAAAGAATGGAGTTATTCAGTAATGGCTTTCTTACTTTCTGTAAAGAAAATAATACTGGTATCTTATCTGAAGTACATGCATTCTGAGTGCAGAAAAAGTGACAAAGAGTATCCATCTTTGCACATTTTATGGGGCCAGATTTGGCCACTTTTTCATTTGCTTTTGCACTCATAAACTGCAGTGCTGTGTGAGTACTCACTTCCAGCATTATTAAAAAAAAGACGTTTTCACAATGTGATTTGATTACAATTATCATGCTTCTACCACAGATCTCATAATGTTCTCCTCTCTTGAAAGATACAGAGTATTTTCTTAACAGTTTTGATATAAAATATTTCCAACTTATTTAGGAAATCTCACTGAATATATCTCTATCATTAATTTATATTATCCTTTAGTTAGGACAAAACCATATTGCCTTTAATGGTCTGTTATTTTATATGTCACCTAAGTGAAATAAAAAAATCATTTACTCAGGAGAGATGTTAACAAGGGGCTACAATAAATCAGAAAATTTTAAAGCAGCTTTGATAAAAGTATAATGACAGATATATACTGTCAGTTCTTATGCTATATAAATGTTCCAAGATCAGAAGAAAGAAAAATGTTTAGAAGTCAAACTAAGGTTTAATAAATTTAGTTTTAAATATGTAACTAGATTATGCAAATAGAAAACTCTTATAAAGAAGTGGACAAAAGAAGACCACAATTTAAAAATAATAGCACTAGATTGTATAGGGTTTCTTTATTATAGAAACCAAGCAATTTTCAGAGGAGAGATTAGTAAATGCTAATAATCTTAAATTACATTGTGTTAAGATTACATATTTGATTTTTCTTTTCTTATCAAACATTGTATAGATCTAGCATGAGCTCATTATATGTTTATAATTTTTAGAAATGTAGCAATTAATGTCAACATTCTTTCTGCCCCCAAACCAAGAATAGAAATCCAATTATTCCATGCTTGCCATTATTTAGAACCTCAAGTTTTAATATTTTCATTGTGTGCAGGTTAAGTTGCTGGTTCATATCACAAGAATATTTTAATGGAAATGGGGTACCTGAGCAGCTGGACTCATCAAGCTGGAAATCCATGCAGTCGGCAAAACCATCACAGCGCTGGTGGGCTGAGATACAGCTATTAGAGGAGGCACATACCAGAGCTCCATTAGAACAGCTCTTGTTGGCTGCAAACAAAAAGAATAATGATCAGGGATGCAAGCATTTTTTTTTTTTTTGTCCCAGTGAATTATCACAACAAAATAATATGTAACAGTTTCTTATATTACTCTTTTTTAAAATTATACTTTAAGTTCTAGGGTACATGTACACAACATACAGGTTTATTACATATGTATACATGTGCCATGTTGGTGTGCTGCACCCATTAACTTGTCATTTACATTAGGTATATCTTCTAATGGTATCCTTCCCCCTCCCCCCACCCCACAACAGGCCCTGGTGTGTGATGCTCCCCTTCTTGTGTCCAAGTGTTCTCATTGTTCAATTTCCACCTATGAGTGAGAGCATGCAGTGTTCGGTTTTTTGTCCTTGTGATAGTTTGCTGAGAATGATGGTTTCCAGCTGCATCCATGTCCCTACAAAGGACACGAACTCATCCTTTTTTATGGCTGCATAGTATTCCATGGTACATATGTGCCACATTTTCTTAATCTAGTCTATCATTGATGGACATTTGTGTTGGTTCCAAGTCTTTGCTATTGTGAATACTGCCGCAATAAACATACGTGTACATGTGTCTTTATAGCAACATGATTTATAATTGTTTGGGTATATACCCAGTAATGGGATGGCTGGGTCAAATGGTATTTCTAGTTCTAGATCCTTGAGGAATCGCCACACTGTCTGTTTGTAGATGTGGGTATTACTTCGTGCAGGCTCTGTTCTGTTCCAGCTGGTCTATATCGGTCCTGTTTTGGTACCTAACATGCGCTTTGGTTACTGTAGCTGTGTAGTATAGTTTGAAGTCGGTAGCGTGGTATCTCCATGCTTTGTGTCTTTGACTTCAGGACTGTCTTGCGCTGCGGGCTCTTGTTTTGGTTCATTACATGAGCTTAAGCAGCAGTTTTTTCCACACTTCTGTGAAAGACGTCACTTGTAGCGTGATGGCGGCGATGGCATTTGGCATAAATTAGCCGCTTGGCAGATGGCCATTTTCCGATATTTGATCTTCCTATCTGGAGCATGGGAAATGTCTTCCATATGGGGTCTGTTTGTACCTCCATTTTATTTTGTTGGAGCCGGTGGTTTGTAGATTCTCCTTGCGTAGGTCATTCAACATCCCTTGTCAGTTAGGATTCCTCAGATACCAATCTCATACCAGCTTAAGAATGGCGATCATTTAAATAAGTCCCATGGGAAACAACAGGTGCTGGAGTAGGATGTGGAACAAATCCGCCTAAACGCGCGCTCCGACTAGTAAACTAGTTCAACCATTGTGGGAAGAC